CATTTTCAGAAGAGGAGGCTGAGGGAGACCACTGGGGTCTGCAGCTCTCCCTGAGGGGCAGCTCCAACCTCTGCTCTGGGACCAGGGACAGCAGCCAGGGAATGGCTGGAGCTGTGCCAGGGCAGGGGCAGGGTGGATCTCAGGGAAAGGTTCTTCCCCCAGAGGGTGGTTGGCACTGCCCAGGCTCCCCAGGGCAGTGGGCACAGCCCCAAGGCTGCCAGAGCTCCAGGAGGGTTTGGACAACACTCTGAGGGAAAGGGGGGATTGTTGGGGTGTCTGTGCAGGGCCAGGGGTTGGGCTGGATGATCCTGGTGGGTCCCTGCAAACTCAGGAGATTCTGTGATTCTCTGAACAAAACACCAAACAACTAAACCCCCACAGGGCATGAAAACCAACAAACTAAACACACAGAAAATCACAACTCCTACTGCAGGGAGCACCCAAGAATGGCAGGCACTGAGGAAGACAGACACGACCCTATCTGCTTTGTCCCCTCCTGTTTGGGTAAGAGCCCTCCCAGAGCAGCCTGAGGGGAGCAGCACACCCAACTGCCCAGCATGGAAAGCCCAGCTCCATCTGATTGGGTCTCCAGGATATTTACAATTTTGAGCAGCTATTTGAGAAAGGGCCCTGAGGAAGCAAGTGAGGGCAGAGTTACAGCCGTGGGTGGGGGGCACTGCCTCGGGTTTCACACCAGCTCAGGCACTGCCACGAGCTGGTAAAAACAAAGCCTGACATTTGCTGGAGCTGCACACAAACAGCTGCAAGTTCCAGCCAAACACACCAAATAATCCCAAAACAGGGCAGGAATTGAGACTCCACCTGCACCCCCAGAGAAGCCCTCTGAGCACTCCACCCATCTCCCAGGGAAAGGGCTTTGGCTGTTCCCAATCCACGTCAAGTGGCAAAAATCCACACTAGAGGTTTCCAACCTACTAAGAAGTCACAGGGTGAAAGCACAATATCACAATAAAAATTACCTTCCAGTGATCTTTAAATCCTTTAAAGTAATTACCTTAAAGTTGGCACCTGCTTCCAAAACTAGAGCAAGGAAGATGTGAGATGTAAAATGTCTCTTTTTGGAAGTTTCCCACTCCTCCACCCCTGTTCTGAAGTGGAAACACTTCCAGACTTTACAAGAATGCAAAAAATGAATTCTTAGTATTCTTTCAGGTGTAAAACATCACCTGTAAAAATTAAAGAGCTCACCAGCAAAAAGGACTGGGCTTGTTACAATTTATCAATTCAGTGACAGGAAAAAAAAAAACAAAGCCATTTTCAAATATCAGAAAGTATCTGAGTGCACATGATATGTATCAACATTAGCTACAGTTTTTTTTCTTTATGTATAATATTAAAAACACAACAGCAAAGTCAGCTGTTCCCTTTGACTGCTCAACTTCCACCCAGGCAGGACAAAATTCCCCCAATCAGCAAAGCCCCCTTATTACAGCTGATCCTAAATCCACAGATTAAGGGGGTTTTGTTGGGGGTTTTTTTGTTTGTTTTCCTTTTTTTTTTTTTTGGAAAAAAACCCCCTCCCTCTCCTCCACCCAGTTTTTTGGTTCTTGCTAAGGGAATGCATCGACACCTGGATGGGAGACGTGTTCATGGTGAGAATTTGGGGTGTTTGGCAGTAGGCACAGGCACACAATACTGATTATTCCCTCCCCACTTTCAGAACAAGAATCATCATTAAAAAGAGCTTCTTGTTCCACCCCGTTTGCCTGACAAGAGGAAAAGGGAACAGATGGAAGAGATGCAGAATAATCAAAGGTAATTTATGGTAACAGCACTTGCACAAGTGCTTTGTATCATCACATTATCCAGCTCCTCAAGGCACCTCTTTTCCACATGTTACCCTATTCCAAGAAAACACAGGAAACAAACCCACAAAGATCCTGCAAGGTGTAGAAGGAAAGGTACCTGGGAAAGAAGGATTTATTAGTTTAGGTCAAAGAACTGAGCTCCTGGGCACAGGATCTCTCCTGATGGCACTGCAAACAATTCCCTGCCTGGGCAAATCCCAGACTCAGAATCTCTCCTGTCCTATATAAACATGAATATAAAACTGGCTGCTCTCATTGCCTGCCTTCCAAATTCAACTTGTTAAATATATTCCCCTTATTTATTTATAAGGAATCTGCTCAAAATGCTGTTTAGAAATGCTGAAGAGTTTCAGGGATCAAGTTAGAACCAGTACTTGGATTTTACAAAATAAGCTTGCACAGGAAAAAAAGAATCCTGTTTTAAATAGAAGCTTGAATTCAGGCTTGAGTTGATGGCATTACCTCATTGAGCCCCTCTCCATTAACACAAAGTTTATCTTCAATTTAACAGCTAATGAAGGTTTGGGTTGTATTCAGCAGGGCTGTCCCCATTGCCAGATTCATCTGGCTACACAAATGTGAACCCAATTTGCAGAGCCCTGAGGCTTCAAAGTCTTAAAAATTAAGAAAATTAAGGAAAAAAAATGAGGAAATGAAGGTAAAATCCCAAATCACAGCTATTGCACGAGCTGGGATTAGACTGAAACTTTAAATTTCCCTTGCCCTTGCTGATTTACAAGACAAGTTCTAAACAAGGCTGCTGGTGGAGGGGAGAGCCCCACAGAGCCGGGTCAGCTCAGGATTACATCATTGATCTGCTTCAGTTCATGTCTCTGAACAAAAGGGATGGTTCACTGCAAAGAAACAGCCTTCAGGAAAGGGAAAGGGGTTGTCTTCTCAGGTACCACAAACCCCACATGGTCCAGGGATTCTTATTTACAAAATTCTTATTGAAAGGCAGCATTTGATGTACAAGGTTTAAAAGCTT